TGCCGGGGAGTGTCAATGGAGTTGAAGATTGAACGATCAATTCTTGGTTGTTTGCTCAAAATCAACTTCCCCAATTTTCGCGGAGGCATCAATACGACAGTCATCGTCGTCTCATCGGTCGCTGTTCAGAAAGAAGAGTAAAACATCGTCAGAAGTAATATTATGATTTATTATTGTAATATTTCTTCACAGACCTCAGTGGAAGATTCTTTATATGTTGGTGTTACAATAAAGAATTCTCAAGTGGCCAATCAGTGTTTTGGTTTTTTTGTCCGTTATTACTAAGCGTTTCTGAAAAACTTCAAGAGACAGCGTGAGCCCGAGCGTAGCAAGAGCTGGGCATTAACGGTTTACGAGACGTGGCTGACACATGTCCAAGAAGGACGTCTGCACATAAATTATGAAGAATGGAAAATTTGAATAGATCATAAGTATGGTTTTTATAGCAGAAGGATAGAAAACAATGTCCTTCAGTATGACTAGTGAGATTCGTACTTGCCATTGTGATACTATTTCGAGACCTATGGACTTTCCAGTTATACTTATAAACAACTGAGGAAGAGATGTAGTCGTACCAACATTCACTACACTCTACTAAGTAGAATATCACTTAATTTGCTGCGGTACTCAAAACTCTTCAACCTTTTTAGTTTTAAAAAAGACGTTTTAACTACTAACTGCACAGTGGCCGTTTAACTAACTTACTGGTTTTCTCTTCACTGTAATCTTCATTAAGTTCGTCAGTATAATTATTTCCGAAAACCATTACATTAGCAACCATATCTTTTAAAATTTTACAAACATACTTATATTATTAGCATAATACACTGCACTATTTTTGAGTTGAATTGACTATCTTCAGTCAACAGTTACCCATTCTCATATAATTTTCTAAAATTCATAATGTTAAAGCTATGTGGTATTTTTTCGATTGTATAGTTGATGAGTCACTTTGCAATGTGTAACGCACACCATATAAAATCGGTCGCCAAAATTTAGCATAACAAGTACTGCTGACCAGTTGCTTTCCTCAGGACCACTTCATATAACATTGTCACTAATTGTTCCACTACTTAAATGATTAAAATATTTATGCATCAAATGCTCTCTTGCTTTACCACGCTTGTTTCCCTTATAACACTCAATTATTGAGCCTAGTGTATTCTTCGATAATAAGAATTATAATATTAATTATACTCTTATCATATATGGTTTGATTTACTCTACGGCTCCCTGTAGACTAACTACCATTCTTCAGTATACACACACTGCAGTATTGTTTAAAAATGCCAAAATTTTGTTGGTTCTGTGTTAATATCTTTTTATAATATGTCTAGACACGTTACTTTGCAATGTCAGATGTTTACTATATATAAGACTGTCATGAAAATTTAGTACACTAAGACCTGCCAACCGACCTTACCTTCAGTTCATACTACCTACATTAAACCTTGAGTAAAGTGTTCTGCTGAATCTTGCTCCACTATCCACAAAACCTATTCTTTTTACTCTTTAAGGTTTTAACTTCTTATAAAGTAATCTGTTCATCAGGATGCATGCACACATATATAATATGTTCGTAAAGATGTACGTGGAGATCTATTGGAAGCTCTCATTAAGAAAGCTAGGGAGATGGAATATGGGGTACGAACATGTCTGGTACCAAGCAATATATTTCCGGTAACCATAATAACCATAGTCTCAGAGCCTAACATCAAAAAAGGAGGGAGGGTGGTGCTAGCTGATCAGTAGATATGGTGGTGTTCACTAAGGTTAATCGCCCCATTCTGCAGGAACAGCAATACGCAAAATGAAGGCTCGAGATATTTCTGATTTTTATGAGGGCATAGATCTCTATCTTGAAAAGGATAATAATGAACGCCTAGACAGATCATGCCTCCGCCTTTAAATATACACCACTCGCCCAGCCATTTGTTGAGATGCGACCACGCGGGATCTGCACAGATTTATAGGGCATCTTATAAATTAACTTACTATCCATTGTTAGATCTTTAAGTACCACTTCACAATGTCTTATCGCATTCATTCTCTAATAACGTCTTTACTTGCTCCTCATTATACTACATTAAACCTAACATTTTATAGCTCTGTGAATTTGATTCGACTTATTCTATTCCTATTTTCTGTAGAAAACGGTTGTGCACTAAATGCAAAAAAAGGTATAAAATAAAAAACCGGCATGAGGACAAATGTATTAAAACCAAAACTGGACATCATGATAGTACGAACTATATGAGTAGCATTATACATTGCAAATGAACGTTGTCAGCCTAGGGATTTTCCTTTATAAATGCATTTATTAATGATACTTGCACCTACCTATTTCATTACAATTTCATGATTCACCTTAGCACTTTAATTTTGCTAAAACAGCTTTCAATCCCCTGCAAACGTTGTACTTACCTCAATATTGGTTGGTTATCGTATGCCTACAACTACGGTTTGAAAACAAAACGAAGTCGATTTTCCCGCGCAACCTGGAGGACAACTGTACAATTCAATAACTATACGGCCTGGTTCAGACAATCAGTGTGTTTATATATATACATATATATATATATATATATATATATATATATATATATATCAAATATTTTACTGTTGAAACATTATTAACTTGTAGACGATTTACGATTTGACATGTCATACTTGATCGTGCTTGTAAAAATGGCATGCATTTTCATGTAAATTTATATGTTTATATGAAATATATATATATATATATTACTATTGACAAAAAATATTAGTTATCTGAGATGTTAAGGTGTGCAGATGGACCACCTTGCTCTTCTAAGGTTGCAGGATATCCTGTTAACCTCATCCTACTGTTTCAAATGTCTCTGATTCACCGGCAAAATGGTTGAGTCGCGATACTAATGTGGGGTGACTGAGGCTTCAGCAAAAACATTGGTTTGTTTGTTACTTCCGTAAGGTTTGTTGTTGAACATCTTATCATTTCATTTGCCCACTGGCCATGTTTTCACCCCGTATCACTGGCACATTGCTATGGTCCAACTTAGGTTTCCTGGGTCCAGCCGGCGTATAAGAAATCTGAGCCACTAGAAGATTAAGGGACTGGAGAACACAGAAGCGTTTTGGTGAAGTTAAGTGTTGCCTGTGATGGGAATGGCTTACCCAAGGATATGCAGCTGCCCTTATGCAAGCAGCTCAGCCTCATATGAAGGACGTTACGAGAAAGTTTGAATCATAAATTACGTGTCACCAATGGAACAGTTCTCTGTTCTGACAGTCTGAAAATGCACAAGGATACGGAGGGGTAGTTACTAACAATAGATCTACGAAATAATAACTGGAAATAAATGTAATAGCATCCACACCTTTTAACGTTTTACATATGTATATACTAATATAATAATACTTATTAATCATGCATGTTCAGTTCTTAAATTAGATGGTTATTAAAATACTTAAAATATTTATGCATCAAATGTTCTCTTGCTTTACCACGCTTGTTTCCCTTATAACACTCAATTATTGAGCCTAGTGTATTCTTCGATATAAGAATTATAATATTAATTATACTCTTATCATATATGGTTTGATTTACTCTACGGCTCCCTGTAGACTAACTACCATTCTTCAGTATACACACACTGCAGTATTGTTTAAAAATGCCAAAATTTTGTTGGTTCTGTGTTAATATCTTTTTATAATATGTCTAGACACGTTACTTTGCAATGTCAGATGTTTACTATATATAAGACTGTCATGAAAATTTAGTACACTAAGTCCTGCCAACCGACCTTACCTTCAGTCCATACTACCTAAATTGAACCTTAACTATAGTGTTCTGCTAAATCTTGCTCCACCATTCACAACACCTATTGCTACGCCGGGCCTCTCGCTGTCCCTCGAAGCCTTTCAGAGACGCTTAGTACTAACGGACGCAAAAACCAAACCACCGATTGGCGACTCGAGAATTCTTTGTTCTAACACCAACATATGAGCAGCATAATAACTAAGGTCTGCGAACAAATATTACAATAATAAATCACGATATTACTTCTGACGGTTTTGATCTTCCTTCTGAACAGCGACCGATGAGACGATGACTGGTGTATTGATGCCTCCGCGAAAATATGGAAAATTGGGTTTGAGCAAACAATCATGAATTGATCGTTCAATCTTCAGCTACATTGACAACATGCAAGCTTCACCCTGTGTAACGAAGCCTTGTCCTTCACAACGTCGGAGCGTGACTAAGGTCTAGTTCTAATAGCGAAATTGGACAAAAGCGCAAACTACACAACGGGGATTTAGCGAGGGCATGGGTGGTCATACATTTTACCTATAAACAGTTAGGTGCACGCACTCCTGATCTCTCTCTCACACACACGTCAAAGTGCACTACATCTCCGCGGTACATTCGAATCTGGCGAAAATTTTGCACCTGTTTTCGATGGTATTCATTATTCTGTTCTGCTATATTATCACCGGTAATAATGAGCAAAAGTAATAAAATGCGTGCACTTAGAAACACCGGTAATTTAGAAAATGGCTTAAGCTTATCGAGTAAAGCATTGTCACCCCTTAAATAAGCTGCAATTAGTAGTTCAACCAGTACAAATGGTTCCAACATAATGCTAACCCCTGTAATACAGGTGAAAGATATCCTGCCAGAAAAGGCAGAAATTACTAACTAAGTCTGCATCACAAACGACATGCAGCTACAAATAGATGAACACAGGACGAAACTAAGTTTACTTGACCTGCTACCAGAAACAATCCTCTATCTTAAAAATGAAATGAGGGGTCTCACTTTCCTAAAACTCTTTAAGCTCAAGGCTAAGCAAACTGTTGTAATTATTTGTAATCGTAGTATTACTATTTCGAGATGACCGAATTACAAGAATCCAACCAAAACACAGAGAGGGTGGAATTCAGGAATTTGTATTTAGCGCAATGATAATCCAGTTCATATAAGAAACATATTAACAAACAACAGTATGTATTTAAACGATACAGAGATAGAAATAGTCAATCACCACATCCGCCACACGTCGAATGTCTCCTTGCGTATTTATAATGATATCGCGGTTTGCTTGGAAGTAGCTGCGACCTTCTGTGATATTATTTCCGTCAGTATCATCTAGACTTATTTCTGAATTATCTACAAAATCAGGATTAGTAGCGGAGTCATTACAATCATAATCGGAACGACCTACCTCATTTATTCTCACTTGATCCAAGTGTCTGTTATGAACTGAATTATCTTCGATGTCTAATATCTTCACCATTCCATTTCCCATTCTTTGTAGTATGATACCAATAGAAGGTCTATAATCATTCCCTCTGTAATAATGTACATCAGAAGTCGTGGACATCAGATGTTTTCTGAGAATTCGAGATTTGAATAGTTTTGCAGGACTTTTATGAGTACGTGTATGCTCCGCATTGAGATATTGAAGTAAGAAGTTATCCACACATCTCTCTAGCTCATCAAAATGTTTAGGACTCAGTGATGCTGTTGCACTCTTTAATGTTCATTGGAGGAATAATATTTCTGTCATTCAGACATAGAAATCCTTCAGGATGGACTGAAATCTCATCTCTTCGCTTATCAAAGTCTGGAAATCTTCGCTTACACTGAACATTCCAACCTCTTTTTGTTGCATTTATAACGCATCCGTAATATTTCCGAGTATCATTTATAAGTCGAACTCGATCCACAGGTAACGGCTGGACTAACAAACAATCAGTATCATTAGCAGCATTTTCAAATAATGAATAACGAGATAAGAAGTCTGCATGAGGTATATCCTTTGCCGATCAGTGTTCAATAGTGTAATCATATGCATTTAGTTCTAGACTCCATCTTTGAACCATAGCAGCAGATGATTAATTCAAAGATTTTTCTGGATTGTAAATGAATTTCAAAGCTTGATGATTAGTAACTATGTGAAACTTAGTACCAAAGAGATACTTGTGCAAGCGTCTAATTGCCCATACAACTGCTAGAGCTTCTTTCTGGGTTTGTGAGTACCCTTGTTTACTCTTACTTAGACACCTTGAAATACAAAAACCAGGTTGTCCATTTTGCTCAAGTACTGCAGCTATACCCACAGGAGAAGCATCTGTAGTGAGAACAGACTTATCTTTCGATAAAAAAGGTCTTAAGAAAGCTTGTTTATTGAGAAACTCTAAAGTTTATCGCAAGATATTCTCATGTTGTTGTTCCCACTTAAATCGTTTACTGGAGACAATCTCAAACAGTGGAGATAACCGTTGAGTGATATTGGGAATGAATCTGGAGTAAAACTGAAGAGTACCTATCCATGATCTCAATGATGAGATATTATTAGGTGACGGTGCTTGAATTAGAGGTGCCAAACGACTAGCATCAGGTCTGAAACCTTTGGAGTCTACTGTGTATCCCAAGCATGATACAGACGACAAAGTGAAATGGCATTTAGATGGATTAACAAAAATTATTCTCACATAAACGCCTGAACAGTTTTAAAGACGTTCATTATGCAATTCGATATTAGGACCATGAACTAAAATGTCGTCTTGGTATGACTCAACACTATCTAATCCATCTATCATCTGATTTATTACATTTTGAAATATTGCAGGTGAAACCTTTAAACCAAAAGGCAAGAACTTATACTTGAACAATCGAAATGGAGTATTAATGCTTGCTAATGCACTAGACGCCTAATCAACAGGGATTTGCAAATAGGCATCTTTTAGATCTACTTTGGAAAAGTATTTTGAGCCATGTAGCTTGTAGAGAATGTCTTCAGTTTCTAGAGTAGTGCAACTTTGCTGTAGTAGACGACTATTCAGTGTAAGGCGGTAGTCACCACATATTCTAGGTGTTTTTCCATCAGCCTTGAGTGGCGTAACAATAGAAGTGGCCTAGTTTGGAGACTCAACTGGCATAAGTGTACCTTGCTCAACCAACTTGTCTAACCCTTTCTTAACTGCATCTAGCAATCCATATGGAATTAATCGGCGTTTCAGGAAGATAGGATCACCCTCTATTTCAGGATGGATGGGCTGAATCTTCATGCCACCTACACTCTTTGAACATTGGAGAAGTAATTCTCTGAACAGAGATTCATCAAACAACTCAGTACAAAGTGAGATTTCGACATTTAACAATCTAAGGGCTTTTAATCCCAATAAAGATGGGCCATATTCACTGACAAGAAAGGGAGTATTTACAAAATTACCACTGTCTGATTTCAAAGAAATGTTAGTAGCACCGATAAGAGGTAATTTATGACCAGTTATGCCTGTAATTGAACTAGTAGTAGGGTCTATCTGAACATTCTTACAAATCGATTGTAAATCTTTCTTAGAAATTATACATTCAGTACTCCCAGTATCAATTATAAAACAATGAGACTTGCCTGAACTTGTAGTGAAGGTTCTCATTAGATGAGATTGAGTATTGGGAAAAGTTGAAAGAGACATCGACTGCATTTTACCAGATAAATTGGAAGAATTATCAGGATTCTGAGTAACATAAGTATTCGAACTTCTGCAAACAGTCTTGATGTGTCCAACTTTACCACATTTATAACACTGAGCACCCGAAAACGGCAAGTCCTTCGTAGATGTAACTTTCCACAGGAAAAACACGGTTTAATGTTTTCGATCACTCGTTGTATTCTGTTACCTGTGGACGACAGTTTGGATTGCTTTCCATGACCACTTGTATTTTCGACTTTAGAAAGCATAACATCAGATACTGACGTAGTGGGAGCAGAGTATTCATTATTGACATCTTCATATGTAATGCATAAATCTTTAGCAGTTTGAAAGGTACAAGAAGGAATCTGAATTAACTCTTTCTCTAAATTAGGAATATTGATTCCAGCAATTATACGACCACGTAGTTGAGTATGCAGCTGATCTCCAAAGTTACACTTTGAAGCTTGTATTTGGAGTTGAAGAATAAAGTCTCTAATCTTCTGGTTAGGAGAACCTACCAGTTTGTTGAACTGAGCCCTCTCTCTGGTCTCAAATGTAGTTACATGTAAGTGATGTATCAGAAGTTCACGGATCTTGTCATATGACAGAGAAATGGGTTTATCTGGAAACGCCAGATTCTTCACTAGGCTCTACGCATCTAGCCCAATAGCGGTAATGAAATGTGCTGGTATTTTGTCATCCTGAACATTCTTTGAAATGCACCACGCATCGAAACATTCAAGATAATCAACAATCTCCCGCGGTGAACCATTTATAGGACATTTTCCGAGGTTATTTAGTTCCATTGCGACCCCAATTTGTTGTAATCATTTGAAGTTGTAGTATTACTATTTCGAGATGACAGAAATACAAGAATCCAACCAAAGCACAGAGAGGGCGGAATTCAGGAATTTGTATTTAGCGGAATTATTATGCCATTCATATAAGAAACATATTGACAATCAACAGTATGTATTTAAACAATACATAGATAGAAATAGTCAATCACCTCACCAACCGATGCTGAATTGGAACATGCTAAGGAGCTAGAAAGCGCTATGGACTATTTGTCGAGTTGTTAAGAGACTTGCTTCTAAAGAGAACGCCATAGTGTACAACATACCTTACAACGAGCCCATAAAATCGGTTCAGCACTGCTTGTTAGGAGCTGCGAATCTCTAAGGTACACTCCGTAAGTGTATTAGACTAAATAAAAAAGAGACAAACCGCACATGTCTCATACTTTTCAGGTTTTGCAGCTGTATTATAGCTGAACAATTTAGGAAATCTGAGGATATTTTGGCTTCCAATGCAAAATTCAAAAATCTTAAAGTAGTCTCGGACAAAACCCCTAACCAACGACAAGTAGCTAAGGACACCTTAGATACAAACGCGACTATACCGTAAATAATAGATAGCGTCAGTACTGAAGTGTCGAAGGACACTGAAGCACAAAGCGACACTTGCACTGTATTAGCGGAACAGACGACACGCGTGTGTGAAAGGAAACCCAAAAGGAGCAGTAACACTGTAATGGGTCTCAAAGTTCGTGAGAACACTCCTATCAAATCTACCGACCACACACATGAAGTAGACGTAGATGCTCCTACTACTGATGACCTGCAAAAATCGGCAGATCACACAGCACCCAGGGCCGAACAAGATAATCCCACTGTAAAAGCCGTAAAGAAGTCCCTTATTTTGATGTTGTTTTATTCTCTGAGCTGGATGGTTAGTTTGCGTAGCTTTCATCACCTTACTGGGTGACATCTTCAGCGCATACTTCAATTTGAAGTGAGCTTTTAGATTTCTCCACGAGTTTATTGATCATCTCTCCTGGTGACCTTGGACGTGATTGGTTGTTTGTGTGTGTTTTCACACCTTCTAGGTTACTTGTATTGGAACCGGTTGTTTCTTTGACTTGAACTTTGACCCTTTGTGTGTGAAGTTTCTTTCTTATTGGTTGGTAAATTTTGTCTATCTCGATGTGTCTATTGATTGATGATTCGCTGGAATGCCAAGCTTCTAAAAATTCTCTAGCATTCTTGTTATTTCCTTTGTCTAATATTTGAACGTTGTCCCAGTCGAATTGATGTCCGTAGTTTTTTGTGTGTAGTGAAATGAGGGAGTGGATATCATGTCTTTTGACGGCTAGCTTATGTTCGTGGATACGAAGACGAAGGGGATGTCCACTTTGGCCGATGTAGTGTTTTTCGCAGTTGTTTCAGTTTATTTTCTAGATGATGTTGGTTTTGTCTTCTTTCGCTGTTGAGTCTTTTGGTTGACATAGAATTGAGTGCAGCGACTTTGTTGGTTTGTGTACGACGTCAATTCCCAATAACATTCACAAGAGAAGAGGAATCCGAGAACAAAATTCCATTTTTGTACGTCTTAGTCAGGCGAACAACTACAGGAGGATTAGAAACTCAAGTTTATAGGAAATCAACTCACACAGACCAAATCCTAAATTACAACAGCAACAACCCAATAACACACAAAAGGAATTGCATACAAACACTATTCAAGAGAGCAAGGACTCACTGCAGCACTCCCACCTTAAGAAAAATTGAAGAAAAGTATCTCATGGACGTCTTCCAAAAGAATGGATATCCACGGAATTTCATCAAGAGACATACACCCCCAAGCCAACCTACTAAAGCAAAAGCCACCAAGGATAGCACAAAGAAAATTGCCTTACCATATATAAAAGATATCTCAGAAATCACTAGAAGACTCTTCAAACCTTTAGGAATTGACGTCGTACACAAACCAACAAAGTCACTGCACTCAATTCTATGTCAACCGAAAGACTCAACAGCGAAAGAAGACAAAACCAACATCATCTAGAAAATAAACTGAAACAACTGCGAAAAACACTACATCGGCCAAAGTGGACATCCCC